GGAGCTTCGCTGGCTCACCTACCTGCTGACTGACCTTGGAGAGCCGCCTCGTTTTCCTCCAGTGCTGTACGTAGACAACAAGGCCATGCTGGCCTTGTGTCGAGAGCAGCGCTTGGAGCACAGAACGAAGCACATTGCTCTCCGTTACTTTCTTGCTCGTGAGCTGCAGCAGCGTGGTCAGTTGCGACTTGCGTACGTGGCCTCTGAGGCCAACACTGCTGATGTGTTCACCAAGGCACTTCCGCCTTGTGACCATCAGCGCTTCTGCACTCAGCTGGGTCTTGTACCTGTCTTGCCTCACTTGCTCTCCTCTTGACCTTGCTTGTACTGTCACATATATATACCTGCTCTTGCTTGTCTAGCTCTATATATATATGTGCACTCCTGCATGTGAACTGGCCTTGTGGCCTTGTCGTTGTGCTCGGACTGTGTGGTGACTTTGTGATCCACCCTGAGCTTGCTGTTCTTTGCGTGACTGGTCTTGTGACCCCTTGTTCTCCCCCACTTTGCCTATGGGGGTGTGTCAGAACATATATATAGCTTATGCTGTTGTGTAGGCTATAGTGGGGTATCCCATAGGGGGTACAACCCAATTAGGGTTTGCTATATGTACTCACTTCATTCATAGTTCATTCATTCTCGTTCTCATTCTCACAATATAGTCGTTCTTGCCTTGCCATTGTGTACCATTCTTGTCAACTTTTCCTAGTGAAACTCTTGCCAACTTCCCCCGTGAACAAGCAAGTAGTGAGAGCACAAGGAAACGACTAAGGAACGAACGCAGAGATCACTCCCACCCCGTGCCTAGCCTGTAGACTAGGTATCGTTGCTAGAGTTATCTCCGCAGCGTAGTCCACTGGCTTCGTGACGATGACGCGCCACCAGTCCATGGCGGGTCCTCGCAGCAGTGACACGGCATATCGAATCTTCGCCGAGTCCTCATCAACATAGTTGGCGTCGAAGAAGACGTTCGTCGTGAACAACCACGCTTGAATGGTAGGACCACCCCGTTGACTTGGGTCAAAGCAAGGCGGACGCTGCGGCTTCAGCGGCATCGGCGACGGCAGTGCTGACTCGCCGGTCGGCACCGAAATTGTGAAACGAGGTTGGCTTCTGGCCGCATTTATCGCTTCGGGGTGTGACGTGCCGTGGTCGTCGTCTCCGTCGTTGCGGGCGATGCCATCACTAGCCGCGCTCGAAGGTTGCCCCACACTTCCGTGTTGTGTTGCCTGACGTGCGTGTTGTCCGTGCGTGCCTTGTGTCTGTGATTGTGCTTGTTGTGCTCGTGCGACGTCATTCCGTAGAGACGTGCGTTCGGCCGTTAGCGCCGCGATTTCTTCGGAACATTCGCGTAGCTACTGCAGCAGTTCGTTAAGGCGATCATGCGTGAGTGTCGTGACGTTAATGTGCTCATCCATTCCGAAGGGCGTCGGCTCGTCCTAGCTCTAGGCGCAGTCGTGGCTGCACGCGTTTACGAGAGAACGCGAGGACAGCGGCTCCTAGGTGCTAAGGGGCGAGAGTCCCTTCGAGTGCAAAAATCAAAATTTGATTTATTTGGGTGCGGAGATGCGCTGTCCGAAAGAAAGTGGCACTGAATACCAAGTGTTACGGGTGCAATGGAACGAGATAACAAGGATACTTATGAGCGAAGGTATGAGGGAATACTTATGTGCGAAAACATGCAACGGTTACGCAGTGCGTACGAGCTAGCTAGTGCTAGGCTGGCATCGAGGTTCAGGCTAGTCCCGAAGCGTAGGCCGGCTCGGCCAGGCCAGCAGTGCATGGTTTGGTAAAATAGTGCGCGAGAAGTTGGCGAAGCCCCGTTAGTAGTACCGGGCGAACAACGGCTGCTGCTGTACGCGACGTTGACGGTCGCGGTAAGGCTTGCTGAAAATTTCCTTAGAATGACATATTTTCCTCCCAAGTTACAGCCTTGCTGTGGGTTTGGCCGATTTTGGATTGCTGGATTGAAGGGAAGGAATTTATCCATGTTGACAAATTTCTCCACCAAATGGGAGCGTTGCATTGCTGTGCAAACAAAGCTCTAAACGCGTGTTACAGAACGGTGTATTCTAAATATCATATGGTAACTCGTGTTTGGGCATGTCAAACCTGGTCCTTCGCAGTCTCACCTGGCCGGGCCAGACTTTCTTGTTGCCAGCGTGCTATGTCGTGTTTTGGTGACGCACATTACTGTGCCCGCGAATGTCGGTCCACCGAGGCAGGGGAATTGGGGTTTCTTATGTTGTGTTGTCATCCGGCTCGACTCGTTATAGGCTGGTTGTGTGCCCCGTTGGATTTACAACATTCATCAGATGTACAGTATATCCCCTGTGGATGTAATCGGACGTACTCTTCGGACCCACCCTCAGAAATATCCGTGGGGAGCGCAACGCGCAAACCGAACAGTACAGCGCGGTTTGACGGGTTGTAAGAGTTTGTTACAACGAGGTGCTTCCAGTACACCACCTGCACAGACCCAACCTTCCAAGTTTTAAAGTTAGCAGGAACAACTCCTCGACGAACACGCCGCGCCTGACAATCATACTCGAGATAGTGGGCACTCGATGGGTAACCGGAATAGAGGCAGTAGCAGTGGCAGTGCAGCACTGGGATGGCCACTGTTAAGGACATCACGAGCAAACGAGCGGTGGGCGACGTGGGGCGGCGTGGCGAGAGCGGCGGTGATTGCGCTCGTTGTGGCGCGCTGCTGCATGATGCCGCCCGCAGAAGCCGTACCCGTGCTGGACCCTGACAGTAAGCGGTGGCCGTGCCTGTACTATGGATGACTCATCGGATGACCCGGGGTCCCTGCCATCGGAGTACTGCATTGTAGATTTTAAAATCTACATACAGCCGTGCCTTAACAGTGGTACTGGCATGAAACGAGCCTCGGGCACTTTTGGTTCGCCTTGTACCTTTCGCAAAATGACATGCGAAGTCTACTATACATGAGAAGTTCTCGCGAGGTGTAACGCATTCTTATATTGGGTGTGTCTGCACTGCATGACATGTGATGGTATGGAATGGCATGATGGCATCTGGCATGGTTGGTGAATCATGACGGCAGTGGGCGTGTTGGAGAGGCTGGCATCGGCATGGAGAGGCATAACAGGCAGGGACACGTGGATTAGAGGCAGGGATTGCGACACCATGTCTACAGTCAAGTGTGACGTCAACGACCACGCCATCTTGATGTGAGCAACATGATGTGTTCGACACTACGAGAGTGAAAGCCTCTTGATGGCACAGCGTTGTTCAATAATCGAGACCATTGCCACTGCGAGGTACATCACCACATTTAGTTTCTCCTGGCATCGCAAGTAACTTGAGCTACCACTGTTTCTTACTAAGACTTTATTTTTGCGAGACGAAAGTAACCCTAAAGTGACGGGGAAGTAACTTTTCAAATGTTTTTCGCCCTTCCCTTTTCCGCGATGACGAGGCTGTTAGGATCGTAGACGCCTTGGTCGACAAAAGTCTGCTTGCTATTGTCGATGGCGTTCTCCTCGTTCTCTCGATTCCAACGATATGCGCAGCGTTTAATTCTGTCAATGTTTCACTAATGTTTGACTGTTTTCTGTCTCACCAACGCTTGACTGGCGCTTCACTGGCGCTCTGCGGAGGAATTCGGTTCGCGATTCCTTCACTAGTGTCTGGCGAAGCTTTCACAGATGAATTCGAGTCACTAGTGCCTCGCGGGGCCTTCGCGAATGCTTTCGCGGGGATTTGACGGAGATTTCACTGTACTATCACAAAAGTGTCACCAATGAGATTTTAACACTGGTTTTCACCAAGTGTTGTTTTCAGCTGACTAGTACAAATTCTTTATACTCTACCCAATGCACCCAGTAACTGAAACAAAACGTGTCCCACAAGCTACATCCCCTTGTAACCAAACTTGTCCCACACGCAATGTGTCACGTCGAGTCGCACACGCAACCGACGTTTCTTCCTCGAACGCACCCCAAGTCTGAAAGTCAGAAACTTGTGGACCACGCTATGTTTCTAACCCCAATTCTAATCCCGTCAAGCACATTCTTCCCCTCTACTCCTTTCTTCACCATTCTTCCTCACGTTTCTTCCCATCTTCATCTCCCGTAGCCCATAACTTAGCACACACGCCAAGTCACTTTAGGAACTTCTTAGCTTCTTCGTTTATCTCTTTCCACACGCCACCGCCATAATGCCGCCACCGGTCCAGATTTTCACCGTCGTTAGTGTGGTTCGCGGAACCATCTCCAACAGAGGCGGCACTACCATTCTCACCCGCACTACCAAGCAGGCCTCTCTTTCACCCCTCCGCTCCTCAGTGACGTGGCATATGGAAGCCCAATAGTAGCGGCCACCATTCCAGAGGCCATCGTCGGCTTGAAGAACCTGTCGTATCTGTGAGTGGCTCGGCCGTTGTGGCACCCTACGCTTGGTCTGGTATGACCGCACTAGTGGTGATGTGGATCTGCATGTAAAGAGTTCCTTGCAGGGCGCATACGCCCTTTCATTCACGCTGCTTTGCCTACACGACCACAAAGTTTGGCAACCCAGTCTACTCCATACCCGCGTTCCTTGCTCTACTGTGTGACTCCTAACCGTGTTTCGGTCCCTGCCTTCCCACCCCAGGAGCATCACGTTCAGTGATCTGAGAGGCTCCTTGCCCGCTGCTCTCTTTTCGCTGCCCAACCTGAAGGAACTGTGAGTGTAACGCCTGCGGCGCTCACACGTATGGTTGAGTGCATTCGCCGCACCTCGATAACACCCTCGATTTGACCCAGTGGGTAGCGAGGCGTTAAAGTGAGCCTCCATGCCGCGCTCTGCGGCTTTGCTGCAAAGCCGCGGCTCTCCACTTGACCCACTATCATGTGATGCGGATTGGCGAAGTTGCCAATGCGATCGAAGGTCCCGAATGCCCGCACCTATCATTTCACATCACTACGTGTGTGCACCACATGCATAGTGCATGTGCCCCACAGATTTGATACAATCTACACACATGCCCACGAATGTTGATTACCCATCCATGCGGCATGGTCCTGGTGTGCAGTTTTCTCAATAACAATCGGCTCTCGGGCAGCATCCCCAGCTCAGTACAAGCTGCCACACGCCTCCAGTTTCTGTAAGTGTCCTCTGCTAATTTTCACCACCACCTTCCCAAATTTCCCACCCATATCTGCCTGCTCTGCTTGTTTCAACTCCCCTTTCAGCCACCCAGCCCTCCTTTCACCGCAAACCGAATGATGTCCACCCAGCCCAGAGCGTGCATACGCTTCTTGTACCGCACACGTGTCCTGTTCTTATTGCTCCACGGTCTCCAATGCCTGTGACTTGCAGGAATCTTAACTCTAACAGGCTCACCGGCACGCTTCCGTCCTCCCTGGGCAACCTCCCTGAGCTCCTCCTTCTATGAGTTTGCTGATAAGCGCCTCATCCCTTTGCCAGTCTATGCCAACATATGTGTGGGGAGAACGCACGTGGGCACATGTACTGCGTCAGTAATGCGTGCAAGGAATGCTTTTCTGCCGGAAAGTCATTGCATGGTAACTGAACACGTCCAAGTCTCTCCAACCCAAATCCTCTTTCAGAAACGTGGGCAAGAATGGTATATCGGGCTCCATTCCAGAGTCACTCACCAATCTGCAGAAGCTCAAGATTTTGTGAGTGGCATGCAGATGTTGAGGTCGGAGGCTTTCCCATGTGCGCTGCACAATCACACTGCATACAGGTACGAAAACAAGCGTATGAACTGAACCCTTACACCATAATTGTGTACTTCCTTGAAACCCCTGGCAGAACACTTTATAATTGATAGTTTCTGTTCATCATGGAAGACGTTTGTTGTTTTGCCACATTCCGTTATCTTCAGTTCAGTTTCTGGTCTTCTACCACCCTGGTCTCCAGGTACTTGGATTACAACACCTTCACTGGTGCCATCCCTGCAAGTTTTGGAAACCTCCGTGAAATTTCAGATCTGTACGCTGCTGATTGCCCTTTACACACAGCCCAACGCGACGTCAGCCATCACCATCTCTTCCCCCCCTACATTTGCTGGGATCCTCTCGTTCTGACCTCAAAGCTCTAGCTCCCTACCATGGCCTTCTTGTCTGCAATTGCCTGGCTTTCCTGCACACCTCTGTGCCTCATGCTCCTCCCCTCCACCACTCTTCCCTCCCACCGGTCCAGTGCTCTTTCTGGCAATCTCTTGATAGGGACGATTCCAAGCTCCCTTGGATTGCTGACCATCCTTCAGTTTCTGTGAGACAAAGGGGCACAGTACTGCACGGCCAGAAATGGATGCTGGATGACAGGAGGTCATAGATTGCTGGCAAAAGGCTTCTGTACTCTCCTATGTGCAGAATCGGGTGGCCAGAGATTGTGATTTTGTTCTTATTTTCGTTACAAGCGTTACAACCCTCTGTTGTGCCCCTGCTTCTCTTGTCAACTCTCTTGCCACCCACCTCCTTCTCCGAATCTGCTCGTGCCCATCCACCTGATATCTTCCCCGTATCCGCCTTACGAATCCGCTCCTCCCTCTCATTTCCATTCTTGTGCCATTCGTACACAACGATCCACTTCAAAAGGGCTGTGAGGGGCAACCAGTTGTCCAGACCCCTTCCACCATCGCTGGGCAACTGCTCCTACATCGTCGAGTTGTGCGCTCGATGTGGCCCCTTGAGTCCCACTCTTCATTTATTGATTGACACCTCACATCACAGTTCGACTTCACAGTTCGACCTTCTCCACCCACTCCACGCATCCGAGTGACTTTTGAGTCGACTCAAAAGTCACCCCGTTTCACTCTTACCTCTACCCACTCCACGCATCATCAAGAGGCAATATTCACTATACGCCCTCTTGCAAAGTCTAATTGATCACCCCACTTCCACTTTGCTTACCTTCAGTTTGCTATCCTTGGCCTACTCTGCTTCTTCCCATGCTATCTCCCCTCCCTCCACTATGCAAAGATTTGGGTACAAACAACCTCTCGGGCACCATCCCCTCCTCCCTTGGCAATCTGCGTTACTTGATGAACCTGTGCGTCTCAGAAGGGATGGGGGAATCCAGAAGGGACGGGATGTGTCCGAGAAAGCAGGGCGTGGAAACCGTTGAGAGAAGGATTGTGGTATGAGAATGAGTGCAGGAGATCTTTGAGACACCCTTTGGTTGATGTGTGAAACAGGGCCAGTGACCCTTGCTGCCAGGAGTAACTGGAGATGTGTGCTCTCTTAACTGGAGATGGATGGAGGCAGTGGATCCGTGCGCCTTACAAACATGGGGTTCCAATCCAATCTGACATTATGATGTTGATGTCACCTACATGCAATGCAAACCTGCGGATGGTGTGCATCTAACTCACTCATATGCACACCTCACTGAAAGAACGGAATGCACTAGCTGGTTGCGACAAATGGACATACGATATAGTGGATCATTGCGTTGCGACAAGTGTGCACACTTATAAGCGTTTGTGGCAAGGCAAGAGGTGCTGGCCTTCACAGATCACAAGGACTAGCATACCAGATGCCTTGCCTTGACACTTCCATGCCGCCAATTCCAATTAGGCATGAGAAATCATGTACTGAAGTGTAATATTTGTTGTCGAGTTTTGTTCGACTCGAAGAGGTCCCAGATCGAGTTGAACCATCTAGCCTAGAGACTCTGCGAAGCACAGCGAACGAGGTCCATTGTTGTATTCACAGGCTGACAATACAAGTCTAGCATCACTTGGCTAGATGCAAAAACGAACTTTGCTCGTTGCTGCTTCGCAACGGAGCATGTCCCTATTCATTGGCTAGTAAAGGCACTTAGTTCATGGCTTACCATCCAATCGCACTTGACATTCAACGTCACCTCATTTTTCCGTCAAACATAGAGGATCCATCCATGTGGTCGTTGGTAAAATTCTTCCTCATTCCTCCTGGCACTACGGGTGGTAGTACCCGGCCGAGATTGCAATCACATGGTCTACAGTACGTGGTGACAGAGCGGAAAAAAAGCATCTCATATATACTAAGCCATGCTCAACACCCCCAAATCGCCTCACAAGCATCGGGAGGTGAATGGTCTCTCTGGCTCCATTCCCGACTCCTTCAGGAACTTGAAGGACCTCATGGACATGTGAGTAACACACCTCACCAGGGAGGGAGGTTTAGCCAGCCCTGATGCATGTGATGTCAACTCCGTGTGAGTTACTGACTGAAGCAGTATCAGCTAACTGTTGTCTGTATGTCACTGATGCTGCTTAATTCTCATTGCCATCACAAGCAACCACCGCTGTAATGAAATGAGGTGCATTCTACACTGAAAAAACATATGCCCTCCTCTACAATCCTCACTTTGAACCCCTTTCATATGTCTCCTGTGCACTCACATATATCGTCACTCCCATACACGCACATCTATGATGCTACCTCCTCAACACTCACATCAATATTCCCGTCTCTTCACCCACACCACACGTCCATGTTCCCTGTGCACAGCTCCTTGGGGAGCAATGCCCTGTCCGGATCCATCCCAGCTTTTCTCGGAAACGCAACAAGGCTCACATCCATGTACCCGCCCCTCTCCCTCGCCCCCCAGAGTGTTTCACACTTCCTACCGTTGTTCATCAATTGCCGTCATCATCATCCACACGTTAATATTCCGTCTGCACCCCTCTTGTTGTCCCTCTACCACTCTCTTTTCCTTGCTTTCAACCACTGGAGCTTTGTACACTTCTTTCAGTTTTTCATCGACCTTGCTCTCCCGCCTTGTGCTGCCACGGTCTTGTTTCAGTTCTCTAGTGAGCAATCAAATTTCAGGACATATACCCGAGTCATTGGGGAATTTGACCAAGCTTGAAAAGCTGTAAGTCTGGTCCACAGGGCATGCAGGAATGCAAAGCATGTCAGACTACGTGACGGATTGAGTGAAGCAAGGCGGGGAGGGGTGGGGTAGGGGGGTCGGGGGAGGGGGGAGGGGAGGGCGGGGGAGGGAGGGTTTGGTTTTTGAATGGAACAGCCATGGGCAGCACGAGTATTGGGCCAGTGTGTGAAATTGATAAGCTGGATGGTTCTTAGGACCGTACATGATGCCAACCGTGGCTCCGACTAGTCTAGACTCTGGAGATCCTTTGATCCTTACCCTTGTACGCATGCACTGATGCACACACAGTGCAACCTGACCCTCTGTGCGGTCTCCTTTCCTCTCACAACACCTTTCACTCGAGAATCCTTGTTGTTCTTATTTCAAGCTAACATTTAGTGAGATGGCATCTAATAACGTTTATACTAACAATGCCGCTTTGTGTTTCGACCGAGACAGACCACCCCTTCTGCCACGTTTAATTTGTGCCCTCTACTATTGCATGCAGGGACCTGGGAGCCAACTACTTATCAAGGTCCATCCCGGCCACCTTTAGCAACCTCCGAGCCTTGAAATACCTGTGAGCTCAAACGGAGGTGGAGGATGTCAGATTACGTATGGTTAATGAATGGGAAGAAAAGAAGAGTGGGAGGGAGCGACAAGAGTATGTTCTGAATGAGTTGATGCCTAATGATGGAAAATCTAGGTTATTGGAACAAAGGATGGGTAAGCGTTTGTTTCCTGTTTGGGGAGCACGTGGGGGATTGCCTCTAGCGGCGAGCCTGCTTTGCAGCCCGTCAATAAAAGTTTCTCTCATCCACTCCGTATCTTCATGTATTACTATCTCCCTTCTCTCCCCCCTCCCCACCCCTTTTCTTCCCCCCGGAACGCAAACCCTCCATCCTCTCGCTCCCGCATTCGCTCCATATTCTTCTCTTGCTTTGGGAACCCGTCTGCACGCAATACTTCTCTACTCGGCAGATATTTGAGCCCAACCAGCTGAGCGGCACCCTTCCGTCCTCTTTGGGCGCCCTCTCTGGGCTCGTGCACCTGTGAGTTATCTTAGGTTCACTTTATGACGTAGAAATTATTGTGCAGTCCTGTTGTATCGGTATTGACGTGGGTATGGATGGATATACAAGGCCGCAAGGCATTCACATGTACTGGGATAGTTTTGTGTGACATTAATGCTCGCAACGACAACCAATTGTTGTAAATCAACAAGCTTATCCCCATTTCCACAACCGTGGTGAGATTCGCTGCACGCACGGGTAGGTTGCAACGTCATGTATCACATTCATCTCTGTAATCTACGATTCCCTGACGTGAAGGGAGCAAGAAGGGCCTGCAATACAAATTTAGCAGTCGTCAGATTCAAGACACAGCACATGTATTACGGGTTCAAGCATGAACGCACTTGTCAGATTGGAGTACTTCTTCGGTTAACAAGTCACTACATTAATCAAGGAATATCGAGGTATACAGAAAGTGACACACCAACGCATGCTGATCCGCACTTGGCTATCTTGCTTGAGCCAAAGATCAGGTGCTGAATTCTTGAGCACCCAATCTCCTGCACCCAAGCCTCGTTTCCAGTTGCCTAGGCCTGTGCAACCTGTGATGTGTTCCATTGATTTGAAACACGTACCATCCATACCACCCCTGCTGTCTTTCATTGCCTCTGCCATCATCCATCCACCCCTCCATCCCTGGTTCCTTCTGGTGTTGTTCTTTCCCCTGCCACCTTGCCTGTACACTCTCATGGCTACGCCTCAGGCTCTTGAACAGCAACCAGTTCACAGGACAGATTCCAGGGTCGTTCAGCAATTTGTCCAATGTGATATCACTGTAAGTTCATAAGCTAGGAAGAAAGGGATGTGTAGCAATGTAACAACGCAACAACAGAGTATTCCAAAGGTTAGGGGATGATGGAAATAGAATTGAAGTATCCTATCCCTGTGCTCGCTGACACCCCGCCTAGTGCAAAGTGACATGTAAAGCGTGTGAGTGCTTCCTACCCACAGATTTCTCTACTCCAACCAGCTGAGCGGCCCCCTCCCTTCCTTCTTGGGCAACCTAACATCACTCTATCAGCTGTGAGTTCCCTCTTGGGTGCTTCACCATGCGGGTATGCCAAGTGGAAAAATCCCTATAGCAGTGCATGCCTGTGGATATTTGTGGATGTGTGCATATGGGTGTGCGTGCATGGCATGCATTCCGTTCAGTAGGCACGTGGTTGCCGGAAGCTGCATGGACGTCGAGGAGTTAGAAGCCTCATGGTAAGATAAGATGTGGTGAATCAAATTTTGTTGATGGTTTGAAACGTACACCCAACACAAACTTGGAGAAGTATCGCTAAGAGGATACATGTTCTGACTTGGCTGAGCTCCTTCCCAGTCGCCTCGCCTCAGTGACAGTCCTTAACTCGACGACCTGCCAGTGCCGTAGTCATGGCTCATCGTATCCATTTCTGCACACATCTTAGTCCTCACTCACCCCCCACTACTTCCGTTCCGCCCACAGGAGGTTCTTTTCAACCTGCTCACTCACCTCACTTCACCTGTGCATTGTAGATTCCAACTGTGAATAGAGTTGAAGCTTTTGGTGATTCTTACACCTCAAGGGTGTTTGTCTGTGCCTCTGTCCTTGTGCGTCTCCCCCTCTCCCTATCCCTCTTATCATTTACACGACCACTGCGATGTTTCAGCTACATAGGGCACAATCAATTCGTAGGGCAGATACCCATTTCTCTAGGCAATCTGACCAATCTACAGGCACTGTGAGTCCAATGGGAAGGGAGGGCCAGTGCTACGAATTCTTAAGTGCAAAAAATGTGTGTTTCCGTTGTCACCCTTTTTCTTCTTGAACGATTTTCTTCTAGCATCTTTCATCCAAAATTAATCACTTCCCAATTCATCTATCCTAACTCTCTAGGGCCCTGGAGGATAACTACTTGACCGGATCTATACCATCTACACTGGGGAAGCTGTCGTCCATGGTTCTCTTGTATGTTCAGGAACTTATCTCTTTTCTCAGCTTCTTGTTTTTTTCGGCAATATATTGCCTGCCCCTTGGTGTAGCAGTCTCAATGTCTTCCTCTAGACCTGCTTCCAATATCCATTCTCTCTACTAGACTCAAAACTCAGCGTTTACCTCATTGAATAGTCACGTGTCATTTCAGATTATGTTCCCCCCAATGTCCAATGGCTCCCAAACCCCTTTTCCCCTGCAGTTTTGCATTGACACACGAGCATTACTCAGATTCGCACACTCGACAGCCTAACATGGAGCTTTTAGCACATCTGTTTTCACTTCAGGGATCTGAGTCAGAACTACTTATTAGGGACTATCCCGGCCATCTTTAGCAACCTCCGGGCCTTGAGTTACTTGTAAGCTTAAACGGCACACCATGGCATTAGTACGGGTGGGACTGGAGGGAGACAAGGCAAGAGCAGGAGAGAACGAGAGGGATATTTGTCAGGTACGTACTGTCCCTATTTGGGCTTTCCTCTGATGCTACAGGGCAAGCAGCAGCAGTGTGCTTGAAGTGCCCTATAAGGGTGACTGAATACCCTGCATAGCACCACTCACTCAATTCTCTGCAGCCTGCACTAACTAACTATTTTAATGCTGTGAAAAGTTTTCGAAATCGTATCATTTTCCTTGTATTGTGTCCTCACATGTGAGCTGCTCATTTCCCCCAGAGCCTTGAAATCCAACCAGTTGAGCGGCACCCTCCCTTCCTCCTTGGGCAACTGCTCTTCCCTTGCTTTTCTGTACGTTCACCTTCTGGTAGCAAGCAAGCAAGCATAGCAAGCATGAGGGTGGAGTCTCTCGGCGACATGCTCTTCCAAGAGAGCTGCACGTCGACTGGTTTTCCGGAAGCTGCAGGCATCTCGATCACAGCGCACCAAGTCTGGCTGGAGAGGTGCAATGCGGTCTTCCGGGGCAGCCGCTTTCAGCCAAAGAGGGCACTGCGGCGCATAGCAGTTGGCTTTACAAGGCACGTGAAGATATACAGCAGAGCTCGGAAACGGATGGCTGGGAAAGGTGATGCAAAAAGGACAGGTGACTGGAGTCACTTGACTGCTGACGAGGCGAACGTCATGCGCAGACTGTATGAGAATGAGGCCTCAATGACGTGGAGGGCAGGCTTCAAGGCAATTTGGGAAGACGGAGGGGTAGCCTTCCAGCCTCCATAAAGAGGACGGGGTGGGGCGTTGTTACCCGTATACACTCTTGCCCTCCTAGCATCAGTTACGACTGCGGATGTATGTATACATGTTGTGTACTTATATCCACCACAAATAAAAAAATAAAAAATTATGAGTGTATGGGTACACCGTACACGTGTCATGCAATGTGACGCAATGTGATGATGCCCGTTCAAGCGATGGAGAAGATTGGTTGTTGTCGTGCGTGTTGGCTGGCAGTAGCAATCAGTTGTTCGCAGGTCACTGACGCCCCACTGGCTTGCAGGAACGTATGTATGGCACATGTTCGTCTTTGTCAATTAGAACTACAGAGCCCTATGTGGTTCCAGTGGTGCCTTTCCTCCACCTGTGTCCACCCTATTACACGCGTGCACCCCTTTCAGCCGCAGGCAAGCTTCTCACAGGTGCGCAAAATCCTTTTCTGTGTTCCAGTGTTTCAAAATACATCCTTACCATGACCGCAAACTCTTCTATCCATGCTTCCCATAATTTTATAATCTTCAGCCCATGCATGGCTCCTTCTGTAGCTCTTGTCCTTCCCTGTGCCTCTCACTCCCCGTCAGCCTCCTCAATAATAACCAGCTCTCAGGGTCTATTCCAGACACCCTATGGAAACTGTACAACCTCCAAAAGATGCAAGTTCAAATTATATGATAAACCATTGAAAGATGGTTAGCGGTTAAAATAGGAGCAATGCAAATTTCTTTAGGGCATAGTGTTTGGTGCAAAGGAAACAAGGTCTGGCAGGTAGAAGGTATTTCCCTTTGCACCGTGCTGTGATCTCTAATGCATATAAAGAGCTTGTTGGTAACAGCTACGTTTACACCAACCAGCTGGGCGGCTCCATTTCTTCCTCCTTGGGCAACCTCACTGCACTCACGCACCTGTGAGTTACCTCCTGCACATTTCTCCACCTCGTTCGTACACCACTCAATTATCTTTGCCTACATGCATCTGTGGGTGCGTCTGTTGCCCGACGTCCACAAGCCACTGTTTCCCTGCTGCCTTGCACTACAAAATCAAGTATGGGACATTGGTGTTTTAGTCATTCTTTGCACATAAGACAAATTGCGATCAGAAATAAATATCCAAACGCATCTTGCAGACCACGTAATCAGGCTGTAGCTGCGACTATCAAAGCAGAGCTGCGGCTCATCTTACACATTGGGCACATGATAATCTCTCAGGCCTCCCTTTATTCTGAAAATATCTCATGCATGCAGAGAAATATATTTATGGTGAAATATCAGGCTTGGGATGCTAATGTACACTTCCAGGACTACAATGGGAGAGTTAGTGGCATGCTTTCCCTGCATTTACAGAGAATCCTTGCAACTGGTACCACTCCTACTACTGGTACTGGACTGGACCCTCACTCACCTCCTTCATTCTCCTCTTCCCTGTGTCCTCACTCCCTCCTCGTGATGCCATGGCATGTCCCAGCCTCCTGCACTACAACCAGTTTACAGGACAGATACCCGAGTCACTGGGAAGATTGACCAACCTTCAAGCGCTGTGAGTGTAGACCATACAGAGTTTAGGGTTTAGGTATGTGTCTACTGACCATACAGCGCTGTGAGCGAGGCTGCAGGGCATCAGGCTACGGTACCAATGGAGGGAAATGGAGTCTGACACAGGAAATAAAGGCGGGACAAAGGCATGGGTACAGAGTGTACAGAGGCTACAGAACTTGTAATGGTGCTATAGATTTCTCGCGTGGCCAAGTTTCCTTCACATCCCTTCATGTTCCGTTATCACTCTTCTTCTGTGATGCCTAAAGAGCTTTTATTCTTTTCCCAGGTTATTATCCTTTGAATCTTGACTCTTGTTGTTGACCTCTCTCCACTGTCAACCATCTCGTGTTCAAAACAATACACCTTCACAGGACACTAAAAAGCAATTACTTCACGGGACCCATGCCATCTACATTGGGCAGATGGACATCTATGACTTACATGTACGTGTGACCCTTTGCATCCATGAGAAGAAGGTTCTTTCAAATTCCTGTGTCATTGGTTGTGATTTATCTTCCGTTGGTGACATTGAATGAAACCTCTTTTGTTTCCGAGCAAAACAATCTACTTTAGGTGCAACATTGTCCGCTTCAAGCGTGCACTTGTGTGGAATTCAGCCCAGCCCCATGTCGCCCTTGATTTTCATGCCCCAACTGAGGTACGCCAGGCCCTTTCGTAATTCCAATTCTCTTCTTCTGTATGCAGGGATTTAGGCCTCAATCAAATATCAGGGTCCATCCCGGACATCATTGGCAACCTACGAGCCTTGAAATACTTGTGATCTCAAACAATGGATGATGGACATGGTAGGTTCACTAATGGGGAAAACAGCACAAGCGGAAGAGCGAGAGGAGGATTAGAAACGTCCATACAGGATATTCCTCCGCAATGTTTTGGCCACTCGACTGGCATAAGATTAGCCGTTCCACAGCTTTCATGCCCCTCCACTTATTTGGTAGCATTTGACCTCTGTTGTCCATGCTCTATGCCACTTCTCCTTGCACCCTGCCTCATGGACAGGAACATCTGATGCCTGTTGAGTACACTCCCTATTGCCTACAGATATGTAAACTCTAACCAGCTGGGAGGCAGCATCCCCTCGTCTATGGGAAACCTCTCTTTGCTAGTCAATCTGTAAGCTTGCTCCTGCTTGTAAATCATGCACCAATAGAGACAAAGCATTCAATGAACATGGTATGCATATGTATACGATAGGAGAATGTCTCGTACATTAACTACATGGGTCTTAGATGCCAATGCTGCTTGCAAAGTTGCACATTCATGGCTCATGGCAATCCAACTCTTCTTTTAGTAAATACTGAACACATACTAAAGAATCGAATAGACCATGTAGTGGGGGGAAAGCTTCGAAAATAAATAACTACAAGGGAATGGAAGATGACAACTATGGTGATGCAGGAATTGCTGGTACGAGTATGAACCTGGCACTTTCATAACCTCCGTGTTTCTTTTTTCCATGTTTCCCCCAATGCGGCCATGACATCATCCCAGAGTTCTTGAATACAATCAACTCACGGGGCAGATACCAGAGTCACTGGGCAGTCTGACCAACCTCGAAGTATCGTGAGTGAGGATAACCACATTAGGCTATTGAGGGTAGCAGTGGTGGTACAGAGGGGCAGGGGCTGGGAAAAGCATGAGTACAGCTAGCCATGTTCGTTTTGTTTCTCCTGTCGCATGCATACTCCACATGACCAAGCCTCCTGCAGATTCAACCCTTCCTAACCCATCGTTGTGCACCTACTCCATTGGATTCATTCTGTAAGAGAAGGCGTCCATTTCAATATTTGCAGTAAGGCCAGGAATGCTGCGATCCGCAATAACAAGCTTCCCATTACATTACATTGTTTGCAGTTCTGCAAAACTCAACTACTTGACAGGAATTATACCATCATCATTTGGAAAATGGGCGACTATGACCTACTTGTAAGTATAGATTGTAGCATGGACGAGGCAATCTACTGTTGTTGCTTCCTATTGTCTTGTCTGCCACATCTTCCCGATCAACATTGACTAGTTCGTCAATATCCCACCAAACCCTCGTCATGGCTATCCCTATCTGTTTGGCTATTAATCCAGATGTGGCCACTTTTGTGCCGCTGCTAAGCTGGACTGGCCTGTTGCTTCCTCCTTTCCCCTTGTAATCCTCTCTGCAGGGATTTGAGTGTTAACAACATTACAGGGTCCATCCCTGACACTTTCAGCAACCTCAAGGCCATGAAGTACGTGTGAGTTCTATTCTTGGATGACAGAAGCTGGCAGATACAAAGCAAGAGTGGGCGAGAGGATGCTAGATAGGTGAGTGCAGTGCGAAGTTGGTTGTGGGATAAGTGAAGTGACTGATTACCCCTTGCTTTTCTACCGCTGGCTGATCCTTTTCATTACATTTCACCACTCTCATCGTCACCTGCCATCAAACCATCCAGCCAAACCAATGCGGCTTTTCCTCCCTTTTACTCCTACTTGACTGTGTGTACACCTTGTGACATCTACAGATTTGCTTACGCCAACAAGCTGACAAACAACCTCCCTTCCTCCCTGGGACAACTCACTGCTCTCGTCCATCTGTGAGTTCCAACCAGCCCACTGATACACTATACAGGGAATAGGGAGTTAGTTCACTGGTCTGTGTGTGCGCATGCATTGTGAATGACATGACATGAGCCGAGCCAAGAAATTCATAGCTCCGGCGCAAGCCGGGTGGAGCGAAGCTGAGTTGTCTGGATGAACCTTGGGCCGATTCGACTCATTCCATATTTTTCACCACACATATATTGCCAGGCAAATTATGTTGACTTGTCTTCATGTTACAATGTATGTCACCTCTTACACTGCATGCCTCGACTATAACGATATAACATCTACACATACTTTGAGAAGGTGTGTGCTGAAAGCCTTTCAGTGAGAGGTATCGACATTGTGTAGTGTACTACCAAAAAGCAAAAAACAACGGGTTTTTTTTTTAACCACATGTGACTAATTCCTGCAAACAAGAAATGAGGTCAAGGCGATGAGGTCAAGGTGATGAGGTCAAGGTGATGAGGTCAAGGTGATGAGGTCATGGTGATGAGGTCAAGGTGATGAGGTCATGGTGATGAGGTCAAGGTGATGAGGTCAAGGTGATGAGGTCATGGTGACGAGGTCAAGGTGATGAGGTCAAGGTGATGAGGTCATGGTTGTGCGAGCATCGAATGCAAGGCTCTAGCTCCTACTACATACAGCTTGCATACAAATTTGTCCATGCACTTCCCTCTCCTTCAACCTACCAACTCATTTTGGACCTCAACCGTGCAAAGGTTTTATTAGAGAAGGATAAACATGTCCGTTAAAGGCTCTGGGCTGCTCGGGCTGATATGGAGTGAAGCACCACCAAGTGCAACCTAAAGCGCAATGCCTTTTTGTGAACCACCCATTGCTTCCGGGTCTTTGTCGTTATGAGGATGCTACTAGTAAATAATATTGAAATCAAGTGATGTGTTGGTACTACTACAGCAGATTCCTGTTCAGAAACATAGTATGGAACAAGGTAGGTTGCACCATTATACTGTTTGTGGATCTGTCAGTGCCATTCTCTACAACACCGTCATATCAAGCCCTGCCAATTCCACACAAGTTTTCCTGTCGACTCCTAGGGGTAAAGGCTGATTACTAATAATATGCACACACCCCTTACGTTGACACCACCTCTGCTGTCGTGCCTCTCTTGAGATCGTGCTTCAGCCCCTGGCTCATTCATGTCTATCATGACCTCCCCTGTGCCTATCCATCCACTCCCTTCGTGCTCTCGTGGCCATGCGTCAGGATCCTGAGCAACAACCAACTCTCAGGGCAGATTCCAGAGTCCCTAGGCAATCTAGCCAGCCTTGAAGTACTGTGAGTGCAAAATCCAAGTGCAAATGGCATAACGGTGTTGCATTGGATAGGTTCAAGGACGGATGGTATAAGGTGTGGGAAGAAGGCACACACACATAAATAATGGCAAACGCTTGTTGTTGGAATTGTGTTTTGAGGAGAGCAATGACTGGCCTACACTTTAACACCTCTTGCTTCTACACTTCAACAGCTCTTTCTTTCCTATGAAAAGGTTATTCTGTCCCTTGCCATAATGTACACTCTGATTCATATATTATCCACTCCCAGTTTCTCTCCTCAGACCCTTTTGGTTCGTCCATTCCCCTTGTGATCTTCTCTACAGAAAATTAAATCACAACAACTTTGCATGAACTATTCCTGCCACTTTGAGCAACCTCCAAGCCTTGAATTTTTTGTAAGCTCAAACAGAAGCTGGTAGTGGTCAGGTCAGAGTTTTCCTGTGAGAGCTCATCCATAGGGATTGGAGTAGATACATGGAGGTAGAGTGGTGAAGAATGCTGTGTATTATACTGGAATCATATTTTCGTTAGGAATATTGAAAAGGTATAGCGCGGCTCCTTTATAAACTCGCACTTAAAGCTGGCACTTAAGAGGTAATTTCATCAATTAGTTGCTAGCTCTCCTTGCTTACGGCTACCTTGAGCGTCTAGAAGAATGTTTCACGGCTTCAAGTTGCTGTGACAGCACATGTGTGTGAGGGGAGACTACAATGGAGGGGGGAAAGAGCAGAGATAACAGGCGAGAGATTTATATTAGGCAGTGTTTGAGATGGGAGGAACGAAAGGAGTTGACACTTTAAAGCTGACATGACACAAACACGTGGTGCTTCATGAACTGACACAAGCTGACCTACATGGCTGGGTCATGGCTGATCGTGTCAAAAAGTAATGAGGCACGGGTTGTTTCAGATTCAGCCAGCAGTCCATTCTTTGCCGCCCACAAACGATGTGGCTTCCCTTCTAGGAGGATATCACACTCACCTTTTCCCACCTCCACGACTCCACTCTCTTTCCTCCCGCACCCTACCTCCGTCCCCACAACTTCTCGTTGCGTCTCCTGCAGGGTTGGCGTACAACCAGCTAGTGGGGATGCTGCCCTATTTGGAGCTCATGCCCTCACTCAAGTTCATGAACGCAGGCTACAACTTCCTCACCAATGTAGCAGTTCCCACACCAGCCTGCCCCACGTATCAGATTTTTCTGCATTTCAACTGCTTTCCCACAAACCTGACCATTTGCACGTACCAGCAGTACCAGAAGAATGCCACCTGGTGCACGTCGTTCTGTGGGAACGGACCCTCCAGTCCGCCCTGCAGTGGCCATGGAGTGTGTTCCTACTTGCCTCCAAGCACAGACGCCACGTGCGCTTGTGACTATGGCTATACAGATGGAACCGCCAATGCCACATGTGTCCCGCAACAAGGTAAGCAATCTATTGCGCATTTGATATATGTGATCCCTCTTCGTGTATTTGAGCAAAGAAGCTCGTCCAAAACACCATCCTTGTACCTTTCGCACAAGCTTCCCCTCATGGCAAAATACGTTTTCCCACGTTGCGTCTCTTGAAGTTCATTGCCATCTCAACACTTCAATTCAACCATATGTGCCCCATGTGTTGCCTGTTTCAGGGACGTACCTTCCTCCATACCTCTCCTCCTACTCACAACCGATAAATCTGTCGCAGACCGCCTCCGCTGCCCCCAATGGCTCCATCTTCCTCTCTTCTCCATCCTCCAATACGTCATGGGGAGCGGCCTTCATACAGAGGCCCATCACCCTATTCTTCTCTACCAACAAAAATACCCCCTGCGACCCACCCATAGCCTTTTCGGTTTTGTTTGCATTCCGAATGGCCCCTACTTCTCCTGGTGGCTCATCCACAGCAGGCGAGGGTCTGGCGTTTGTGGTGACGTCTGCTGCACCGCATGGGGCTGTCACAGCGGGGGTGGGGCTGGGAGGGGTGGGGAAGTGGAGTGTGGCGGTGGAGTTTGACTCGGTGCTGAGTGTGAAGCACAGCGACCCCAACGACAACCACGTGGGCGTTAATGTGGGCGGCTCACTTGTGTCCCTCGCCTCTGCCACGGCCCCTCTCATCCTCAACGACGGCCATACCAAGCACGCCTGGATCCGCTACGACCTCACCAGCGGCGGCACCCTCCGAGTCTTCCTCTCGGCCTCCAGGCAGCAGCCGTCCAAGGCTGTGGTGACGGCGAGAGTGTCTCTGTGCAGCGCGCTCAAGCCCACCATTGGCAATGCCTCCTTCCTCTTTGGCTTTGTGGCTGGCTCTGCAAACAGCACTCAGAGGCATGACATTCTGTGGTGGAACATTGCCACAGGTGAGATGAATGATGTTTTTGCTTATAGCGCATCATATTCTGTCCGCAGGAGCTGTTAAGAATACAACTCTATTCACATATAATGTTTTTCTCATGATGCTACCTTTCTTTCTATCGGATCACTTGTAAAAGCTTATCACCTACAGTGCGTGTGTGTGCGCGCACGCGTACGTGCGTGCATGATTGTGTGTGGGTGTGTGTGTGTATGCACATTCCTTTGTGTGTGGATGGGGGGAAGGGGGGGGGGGGGGGGGGGGGGGGAGGAGGAGGGTGGGGGGGGTGTGAGAATGAGAACGAGAATGAATGAACTATGAATGAAGTGAGTACATATAGTAAACCCTAATTGGGTTGTACCCCCTATGGGATACCCCACTATAGCCTACACAACAGCATAAGCTATATATATGTTCTGACACACCCCCATAGGCAAAGTGGGGGAGAACAAGGGGTCACAAGACCAGTCACGCAAAGAACAGCAAGCTCAGGGTGGATCACAAAGTCACCACACAGTCCGAGCACAACGACAAGGCCACAAGGCCAGTTCACATGCAGGAGTGCACATATATATATAGAGCTAGACAAGCAAGAGCAGGTATATATATGTGACAGTACAAGCAAGGTCAAGAGGAGAGCAAGTGAGGCAAGACAGGTACAAGACCCAGCTGAGTGCAGAAGCGCTGATGGTCACAAGGCGGAAGTGCCTTGGTGAACACATCAGCAGTGTTGGCCTCAGAGGCCACGTACGCAAGTCGCAACTGACCACGCTGCTGCAGCTCACGAGCAAGAAAGTAACGGAGAGCAATGTGCTTCGTTCTGTGCTCCAAGCGCTGCTCTCGACACAAGGCCAGCATGGCCTTGTTGTCTACGTACAGCACTGGAGGAGAACGAGGCGGCTCTCCAAGGTCAGTCAGCAGGTAGGTGAGCCAGCGAAGCTCCTGTGCAGCCATGGCCCCGGCGTAGATCTCAGCCTCACAAGTGGAGCCGAGAACAGAGGACGAGCGAGTAGCCCGCCACGAGACAGAGCCGGAACCAAGACTGAAGGTGTAACCCTGCGACGACCGCTGCGTAGCCTGGTCGTCAGCCCAAGAAGCGTCCGCGTGCCCAGTGAGCACCACTGGACTCCGCCCTCCAAGCACTAGCCCCATGCCCGACGTACTGCACAAGTAGCGCAACACCCTCTTCGCTGCAGCCATGTGCTCTGGTCGGTGTCTCCCAGGAGCAACATAGCGTGCAAGAATGCTAAGAGGGTATGCAAGGTCAGGTCGTGTGCAGGTCATCAGGTACATGAGGCAACCAACAAGCTCTGGGTACGGGCCACTCGACTCTACGGACTCATCCGAAGGCAGAGCTGAGAGCGAGTGGCGAGTAGGCAGAGGAGTGGCCTGAGGCGAGGAGTACGTGAAGCCGAAGCGCTGAAGGACCTGCTGCACCATGTGTGACTGAGTCAAGGTAATGGTGCGGCGTGCTCTGTCCCGAGTGATCTGCAAGCCAAGGTAGCTGCGCAGTTCACCCAGGTCTGTGCACGTGTGTCTCTTCTGCAGCTCGGACTTCACGTAGGCTAGTCCAACAGTGTCAGCTGTGGCAAAGACCAAGTCGTCGACGTACACGAGGATGTAGAACGGCGGCAAAGAAGTGTCGGTGCGCAGAAACAACGACGGGTCAGCAGTAGAGGGAGCAAACCCAAGAGCCGCAAGCGTAGTCCTCAGTGTGTCGTGCCACTCACGCGGTGCCTGGCGGAGACCGTAGACTGGCCGTCGGAGGCTCCACTGGGTGCCAGGAGGGAAAGTCCCAGTGAAGCCAGGTGGACGGCGCAGCCAGATCTCCTCGTGCAGGCTACCCTGCAAGAAAGCAGTGCTGAAGTCAAGAGAGTGGAGCTCGTAGTCGCGCTGAGCGGCTATGTGCAGCAGCACCCGAAGAGTGGTCATCTTCGGGGTGGGAGAGAAGGTCTGAAAGTAGTCAACTCCCTGCCGCTGACTGAAGCCACGAGCGACGTACCGCGCCTTGAAGACAGGTGGAGAGCCCGGCGGCCGCTTCACCCTGAAGATCCACATGCCACTGACGATGTTCGCCCCAGGAGGGGGAACCGCGTCAACGTAGGTGCCTGTGGACTTCCAGGACGCCATCTCTGCATCCATAGCTGCCTGCCACTGAGAGGAGTAGGGACCCTCTACGGCCTCCGCGTAAGAGCGCGGAGTCGGGATGTCTAGTGCATCCGGGTCTCCCTCAGGGGCAAGTAGTACGGACGCGAGATGAGGTGAAGCAGCAGCCAGACACTGGAACTCCTCCTGCCTGTCCTCAAGGACGTCCGTGCCAAGAGCACACTCACCCCCGACGGACGGAGGACAGACAGACGCAGACTCAGCAACAAGACCGGCAGCGTAGTCTAGACGACAGCGAGCAGCAAAGTCGACGAGCTCAGCAACAAGAGCAGACGCAGCAGTGGACTCAAAAGAGGGGTCAGTGACGACAGTAGCAAGGAGACGTGTGACAGTAGGACTGGTAGCACGAAGAGAGTCGGACTCTGGGTCGGTAAGTGCAGGAAGAGAGGACTCAGGAGGAGAAGGCAAAGGGGCACGCAGAGGAGCAGTGGACGGACGCAAAGACATCCGGTGCGTGCCAGGGACAGGAGGAGGACGCTGACGCGAACCGCGACCACTAGCGCGAGCAGCACGAACAGGCGACGCAGGACGAGACGCAGGCTCACGACGCTCAGCAAGACCTCCAGTGGGACCAGTGTAAGGAGAGGGAGCAGGAAGTGGGGAGGCGGGCTCTAACTGGGACTGTGACTGAACAGGCGGTGGACACGCTGCAGGAGGAGAAAGACCAAGAACCTGCTGTAGGAGTGGAACGAAGTACGGCCGAGGCCGCGCGGCGACTCCAGACACAGCAGGGACAGCACCCTCAGCAGCAGCACCAGCGCCAACAGCACCTCCAGGGGCAGGACCTCCAGCAGCACCAGCAGCACCAACACCCGCAGCAGCTCCAGCTCCAGGCGGACCCGAAGGCCCAGCAGCTCCGGGACCAGCGGCACAAGTACCCTCAGCAGTCGAAGGAGCTCCGGCTCCAGCAGTACGTCTCCAGCGGCGAGCAAACCACTCGCGCAGCTCCTGTGGAGAGAGGGGCTCCCGCCGAGGCGAAGCACCCGGAGAACCGCCAGGTCCCGCACCGCCAGACGCCACAAGGGGAGGTCCAGTGGCCGCAGGCTCCGCAGCTCCAGGCTCAGCACCCCCTGGCTCAGCACCCCCAGGCTCAGCACCCCCAGACTCCGCACCCCCAGGCTCAGCACCCCCAGTCGTAGCACCCCCAGGCTCAGCACCCCCAGACTCCGCACCCCCAGGCTCAGCACCCCCACGCGTAGCACCCCCAGAGTCAGCACCCCCAGGCTCAGCACCCGCAGCAGGACCAGAGTCACCAGCAACCTCGACCGGCTCGACTGCGTCTACCTGGGACACACCTGAAGGGGCAGGACCCTGAGGGGGAAGGGGGTCTACCGGGGGGGGACCTGGCACAAGGAAGTGCGGTGGCGGGGGGAGGGAAGGAGTGCGGTAGGGGAAGAGGCGGTAGAAGGGGACTGACTCGTCGAACGTGACGTCCTGGGAGGACAGAACACGACGAGAGGAGGGGTGGTAGAACTGCCACCCTGGGGCGTCAGGGGGGAAGCCGAGGAAGACACAGGGAGCAGCACGAGGGGACAGCTTGTCCGCAGACAAGTCGCGGACAAACGCCCGAGATCCCCAGACACGGAACGCAGACGCATCGCCGACCTTCCCCGTCCACAGCAGAGCTGGGGAGGTCTCCGGTCGGGAGACCCTGGGGTGAAGGTTGATCTGATGCGCCGCGTACCGAACCGCAAACGGCCACAGAAAATGGGGGGCAGCCGCATGCATCATGGACGTACGAGCGACGTCCATGACCATGCCAATGCGGCGCTCAGCAATCCCATTTTGCTGTGGAGAGTCCGGAAGCGTAAAGGTCTGGCGGATGCCTCGTGCACGACAGTAGGCTCGCAGAAGGCCAGAGGAGAACTCTCCACCTCGGTCAGAGTGCAGACGCAGAACAGGAAAGTCCGAGCCGAAGCTCCTCCTGAGCTGGAGACGAGCTGCGCGGATCCAGTCGATCAACACCTCAGTAACATCACCCTTGCTGCGCAAGGGGAAGACTGTGGTGTAACGCGAGTAGTCGTCAACCACCAGCAGGAAGTAGCGCTCGTGACCCTGCCCACGGACGCGGGCCGGGCCCCACACGTCCATGTGAAGCGTCTGCAGAGGAGCCTCTGTCGGGGGAAACTGGGAGGAGTGAGGGGCAGCCCGGAGCCGCCCCTCGACACAGGGGACACAGGAAGGTCCGGGTCCCGAGGGAAGGGGAGGGAGAGACCGGGGAAGACCAGAGACAAGGACACGGGAAGCCATGCCCCGAAGACGAGGCAAGGAGGGGTGGCCAAGACGGTGGTGCCACAGGAGAGTCTCCTGAGACAGGCGGCGACACGAGCAGGGGGCAGACTCAGGACCAGACCTGGACGCAGCAGCAAACACCTGACCCGACGCAGCTACCTGGCCAGACGCAGGGACAGGAGGAGACTCAGTGGTCAGGGTGTAGAGACTCGACCCCGGCCGACGCGAAAACGTGGCCAGGTGTCGGCCTGTGCGGGCGTCCGAGCAGTGGGTCACCCGCTGACTCGCAGGAGTATACTGGTGAACCCCCGCATCCTGCAGGTCAGCACCACTCACCAAGTTCGTCGAGAACGAGGGGAGGTACAGACCAGACAAGGTGCCCGAGGGGGCAGCCGGACACGGGAGGACAGTGGAGAAGTGAGAGAGGACAGGACCCCCAGAGGGGTCAGCCAGGGAGACTGCAACCGGCCGGCCAAGCGGCGTGAGTGTGGTGCGGTCTCGAAAGAAGGAGCGAGAAGCCCCTGAGTCAAGCGTGAAGGTGAGGGAGGCCGAAGCCGACGCAGTACCTGAGAGCGCAGCCTCACCAGTACCTGAGAGTGCAGACGCACTGGCACCTAGAGCAGCAGCCGCAGAAGTACCTGGCGCAGCAGTACCAATGCCCGGGTCGGGCGGGAAACACCGGTAACAGTCACCCTCCTCACTAATAGTCACAGCATACATGGCAGCAAGGATAGCATCAAAGTCAAGATCAAAGATAGCTACGCCAGCCCTAGACAGCTCTCCCCAACGGGGAATCTCACTAGCCTCGGGGAACTGCTGACGCCAAGCGTCCGTCAGGCGGCCAAAGCAGCGCTGGGTGGGGTGGGCACCCCCACACTGCTCACCCGCGCGGTCGCCGGAACGAAGGACGTAGGTGCACGGACCAAAAACCCCACCCCGCTGACGCTGCGTGTACCACTCACGGAGCTGCTGGGGCGGGGGGATGTCCCGCGAACGCTGCTGCTGCTGCTGCTGCTGACGCTGGCCACCACCAGAGCCGCTACGCTGCGGGGCACCACCCCGACCAGCTCCACCCCCTCCGCCACCGCCGCCTCCACCTCCACCACCACCGCTGCCTCCGCTCCCACCGCTGCCGCCGCCACCGCCTCCTCCTCCGCTGCTGACACCGCCACCACCGCCCCCGCCACCACTCCCACCGCCACTCGCACTCCCTCCGCCGCCTCCACCGCCACCTCCACCGCCCCCGCCAGGTCCACCCGCGCCCTTGCCCCCCTTGCCCCTGCCAGGGCGGCATCTCCCGCTAGGGGCAGACGCCGCGCAGACCGACTCAAGACCAAGCAGGTCGGCAGCAGCAGCAGAGGCAACAGAGGGCAGCAGGGGGGAAGGAGAACACCCCTCAAAGATGGGGGTGCGAGGGTCACCACGAGAGGCTCCTACAGCGACGATGCTCTTCTCCGCCGCCAGGAGGGACTTCTCGAGGAGGTCGACAGTGAGAGTGGTGGGACAGACTGAGAGGAAGTGGTCCCTGACTACGTGAAGGGAGTCAGGGAGGCGTGTGACTATGTAATAGAGAGTGATGTACATGGGGGGGGGGTTCTTGGCGCAGAACTCAGCAGGAAGGGCGGCACGGTAGCGAGTGTCACTAGTGCGGAGGTGCGTAATGAGGTCAGCGACAGTGGGAAAGGCAGCAAGGTCAGGAAAGAGGTACGGTAGCATGAGGCGGCTAAGGGCAGCAGTGGCAGGGGAAGAGTAGCGCGCAACTACAGCGTCGTACAAGGTCTGAGCACTCTTGTACTGACTAAAGTGCGCGCGCTCAGTGGTAGGCAGGTGGCGACGCACAGCAAGACGTGCAGCAGCATCGCGGGTGGCCCACTGAGAGCGAACAGTGGGGTCAGCATCAGCAGCAGGGGCAGGAGAGGCGCCAGAGGTGAGGTCAAAGAGGGAAAGACCGTCCGCCCTATCGCACTGTAAGAACAGCTGCAGGTCGTCGACCCAGACCTCAAAGTCAATGGCTCGACCCTCAGCGTCAAAAGCGAGGACACTAGGGGTAGCCATGACGACAACAGTGTAGTAGTGCAAGCAGTAGGGGAAGGGCACGCAGTAACAGTGGTGCTGTGCTCACCAGGCAGGGCAGGTCGGGCGACTCGGCAGTAGGGCGGCCCGGCGACTGGGCGGCTCGGCGGCAGGGCGGCTCGGCGGCAGGGCGGCTCGGCGGCTCGGCTCCCGGGCGGCTCGGCGGCAGGGCGGCTCGGCAGCAGGGCGGCTCGGCTGCACTGCTGCTGGGCGGCTCGGCTGCGCTGCTGTTGGGCGGCTCGGCTGGGCCGCTGACGTAGCGAGGCGGCGGGGCCGCGAAGACGGGCGGCGGGGCCGCTGCAGAGAAGCGGCGGGGCCGCAGGGAAGGGCGGCGGGGCCGCAACGAGAGAGGCGGCGGGGCCGCAGCGAGAGAGGCGGCGGGGCCGCAGCGAGAGAAGCGGCGGGGCCGCGAAGTCGGGCGGCGGGGCCGCTGAGTAGGGCGGCGGGGCCGCAGTGAGAGGCGGCGGGGCCGCAGCGAGAGAGGCGGCGGGGCCGCGAAGACGGGCGGCGGGGCCGCAGTGAGTGGCGGCGGGGCCGCAGCGAGAGATGGCGGCGGGGCCGCGAAGACGGGCGGCGGGGCCGCAACGAGAGAGGCGGCGGGGCCGCAGGTAAGGGGCGGCGCGAAGCCGCCGGTGAGGGCGGCGTAAAGCCGCGGGTAAGGGCGGCGACGGGCCGGGAAAAGGGGCGGCGCGCCGCAGCCGCTATGGCGGCTCGACGCGACCGTAAGGGCGGCACTACGGGCCGCTAGGTGCGACTCGACGGGCCGCTAAAAAAAAGGGCAGGCGCGACTCGAGGCGCGTTTCGGTGGGCCCAAGGAACAGTCCCTAGGAGGGGACCTGCTCTGATTCCATGTGAGAATGAGAACGAGAATGAATGAACTATGAATGAAGTGAGTACATATAGTAAACCCTAATTGGGTTGTACCCCCTATGGGATACCCCACTATAGCCTACACAACAGCATAAGCTATATATATGTTCTGACAGGGGGGAGGGGGGTGTGCGCGTGTATGCGTGTGTGCATGTATATGTCAACCGATCTGTATGTGCACGTGCACATATGTGCAGAGACGCCAAATGTAATTGTGGAATGGCCGAATCAGACTCCTGGTAAGAGCGTCATCATTGCCTTTCATTTCCCACGATCCACAATAGGATCTTAATCAACCTATTAAAGCCTTAAAACTTGTGGCCTCCTTTTCGAAGTTACTCATGGGTAGGCATGAAAGGGCATCAAAGTTACTCATTCAAACATCAAAGGAAGAGGTCACAGCCAGCAGCAACATTGTGCCCTCATCGTTCCACTATGCCAGCCTAGCCTTCCTTCCCAATGCGGATGTGCTGCCTTCGTGGAGCCTCCCCTCCTTTGTCTCGTGGATGTGGGATGAGTCAACTTGGCCCGTGAAGAACCAGCATGGATGCTGTATGGCATGGATGGGGTATGGCATGGCATCAATGCTGTAGGGTATGGCATGTTTGGTGTTATGAATGGTATGACATGAAAAGAACACAGCATGATGTGGACGTATGAAGGCATCTAATGGGAGTCGTGTTACGGGGTAGCTATGTTCTCTGCTCAAGCTTGAGTCCGGGCCTAGGATTTTGCACACGCAGCTTGCACAATGAAAATCATACTCTATGAGGCTTCCGAACTATTCGGTTATCCTCTCACCCCTGCTCATCACAGCCCCCAATCATTCCCCTTCCCCCTCTTGAACACTCTCCTCCTCCACGGTGCTGCAGCCGAATCCTCAGCATACGCGGTGGTGGCGGCTGTGGAGGCAGCCTACAGCATCGCCAGCAACTCATATAGCCCTCCCAGGCTGTCGGTGGACCAACTGCGGCTGGCCCTCTCCTCCAACTGCGACGACATGCCTCCGCGCGATGTGCTGGCCTTCCTGGTGGCTGCCACGCGCAAGGGAGGGGGGCTCGTGGATGACGCAGCAGCAGCGGCCGCCAGTCCACACAGCATGGCGTCCGCCGGCCGGCGGGAGAGACTGGCCGCGGTGAGTTGCAGCGATTGGACGATCAATGAAGTTGCAAGCAAGTGGTGATGACGAATGATGATACACGCGAGTGGCAGTGATGAATTATTGGAAATGCATGGAGAACAAGGCGAACAGGAAGGCATTTGCACCACACACAAAAACACTGGAGAGCACTCACACCTCACCCTCTTCCGCTTTGGTGTTGCAGAAGGTGAAGTATTACGGAGTTCAGGGCTTTGAGGAGAGCTCGTTTGGAGGCTGGCTAGGCCTTTTGTTGGCAGTGCATCGGCAGCCAGTGATTGTGCAAATTGAGGCGTCTGCTCCATCATTCCTCGACTACAATGGGGTGAGATGCCATTGACCTTCACACCATGGCTATGTACCAGCGAATGTTTGAAAGGCCACGGTTGTTTCCAGTGACCAACACCATTGCATACGTGCATCCCTATTCCATTCAACCATTTTACCTCCCAGACTCGGAAGTACTCTGATGCCAGCTGCTTCCAAGATGGAGTGAACCACGCTGTTCTGGTGGTGGGATATAGTATCAAGGGGGACCCGTCCAGCCCTTTCAGGCTGCCTGCGCCCCTCTGGGTGATCCGCAACTCATGGGGCAGCGAATGGGGGGCTGCAGGGCACATGTTCATGGACACGCAGAGCGGGCCGGGCGTTTGTGGCATCAACACACTGCCAGGCATCTTCCCCATCCTCCGATGTACGTACCAGACTACATAGACGCCAGTGAAATGGTTGAGGGAGGTTCTAACGATTTTGGAGCTATTTTGGAGCTAACCATTCTGAACTTCTGCTGGTCACTATTATCATGTCGCAGCATAGTCTCCTGCACAAGACGTTCTCTGCATCCTCCTGCTCTAGCTACGCAGCTTCCCTCATCTGTATGTGGTGCGTGGTGTGTGCATGGCAGCTACTACTGACCCGTGTGGCAGCAAGTCAGTAATGCTGGAAGGCTCATCAGAAGTGCCAGCAAGCAACGCGTTCAACCCGTGTGGGCAGTTCAAGTGCTCCAAGGCCAGAGCATCCAACCGCTGTGCCTGTGCTGCTCCCCACTTTGTCCAGGCCTCCCACCCCGACGGCTCCAACACCTGCGCCTATGGTGAGTTGCTTTTGAGTCAACTCCGAAGCACCTGCGCGAGCCCATCCCACCCTCATGCCCCCTTGCACTATTCTGCTGCTCTTTCCATTTGCCAATCATCCCCCAACACACACCCCCCATGGTGCGCCTATGGTGAGCCCAGCCCACCCTCACATTTCACTCTTCCGACTGCTCTTTCCAAATTACTGCTTACCTAAACACATCCTCCCCTTAACTGCCCTGCCTGCCGCTGCCAGTAGACGCCTGTGGGCTGGCAGGCAGCAACCCGTGTGTGGTGGGCACGTGTGTGAACGATGGCAAGGGCAGCTACTCCTGTGTGTGTCCCCCGGGGTTCATTCAAGGCACCACCGCCAAGGGAACCCTCTCCTGCGCTCCTGGTACCATTCATCCTCTTCCATCATCTGTTGCATCTACCATTCTCCCTCCTACTTCTCATTCTCTTCTGGCTGGAAAGGATCTAAACATCATTGTGTCTTTTCACGTGATGATAAAAGCACACGTACACCTCACACTCGTTTCACAAACTAAAACATTTGGTCTCGTTAGCGGAAGCATCTTTTAAGTTGTATCTTGTAAGTACACCTTTCTAGCTTTCCAGGAAATGCAAGTTGGCTCCTGATGAGGAAATATAAACAGTACGAGTTATGTGTTCTTAAAAAAAAAAAAAAAAAATTTAGAACCTATATGGTATTCATTCTTACAAAGTGTCGCTGGATAACGGATTCTCGTATGGTATGCTATGCTGGCATTTGTTTTGTGCTGATGTGCATGCTGTGCCGAGACTGGCAGGCGATAGCAAGGGCAGCTACACTGTGCGTGGCAGCAACGTGTGGTGCCCTCACTTGGTGCCCGTGCTTGACCTCACCCTGGACGAAATTAAGCAGCAGAACAAGGTTGGTTTCAACGTATGTTTATCAAACACTCAAATCATGTCGTCTACCACTAGAGCTGGCACAACAAGTAACATCTATCCCTGGAGTTCCTTTCTTCCTCCATGCCTGCAGAAGCTCTCCTGCTCCAAGCCCATCCCACTGGGCTCCAAGCTGACCGTCGTATCGCCTCAACTTCTTCCCAGTTCCTCGCTCATCTACACCACCCACCTTGTGAGTGCACCAAGCCAGCAGTGCATCTGGCATCTCACCCTGTTGCTGCGTCACCACATTGGACTGCAACTGTGTGTTCATAGACTGTGACACTAAGTGCTTTCTTGACTGTAACATCTTGTAACTTGATTGAATGAAAACTGGTAACTGGATGTGCGTACAGGGCGACAGCTGTGCATCGATTGCTTCGCTCTTCGGTTTGAGCAAGGGGTGCCCTGTGGAGGGCGAGGCATGTGAGGAGGCGTTGGTGGGGCTCAACCCCGGGCTGGACTGTGGAGCACTCACGGGCAGGCAGGCTGTGTGTGTGGAGCGGGAGGAGAGCAAGGCGGGGATGGTGGCAGTGTGTGACCAGCAGTATGAAATGGGGGGAGGTGATGGCTGCGATTCTGCAAGAATGGACGTGAATCCGCCTTTGAGCCCTCTGGAGTTCTATCGCCTCAACCCAGGCATCAACTGCAACAACCGCCTGCCGACTGCCACGATCCAGGGCTTCTCATAGCGCAAGGTGGGGCATTTGTGTCCCTAGTTGGGTTCAGAATTGGGACATGCCCAGGGGGCACATACAACATTTCAGCTGGAGACACCTGTGCCAAGATTGATGTGCTGGGCTTTTCCAGCATGAAGGGTTGCTACAGGAAGATGAATGGATTTGAGTGTTTGGAGAAGACACCTGCTGGGACAATTGTTTGCACTCCCAACGCTTCTAGTGCCAAAATGGGGATATGTTCTGCTGGTGTATAGGTAGAATTTCAGCATAATGCCTGTGCACTTATTTAGGTATGTTACTGTAATCACCCGGACATACCACCGAGGGGTCTTGTGGTACTTTAAATACAAGTAAAATGCGGCTTGTCTTGTCAGTGGCAAAGGCTCAATTATACCTGGGTGCATTTATGAAATCTGAGTCGTATAAGGGGAGTGTTATAAAGATTCATCCCAAAGGTAGGATATAACGAAAAGGGGCCAACGTAAAGCATCCACCCGCACAAGCAACCTGGGGGTCTTTAATTTTAGCGGGTGGAACGTACGGGTGATTACGGTAGTACTAGAGCATACCATAATTCCTACGGCCCGCTGGAGAGAGAGTCCTCAAGACTCTCATGCCAAAGAGGGTCTATGATTATGGTATATATCTGAGAGGAGAGGATCCCCCTGTTGCTATACCGTATATTGAACCCCTTCGTTGTATACTCCATTGCTTTAATGCCTTTGTCTGTGATTGCGCGTCAGATTTTAGAGGAGCGATTTTAGAGGCGCGTCAGATTTTAGAGAATACATACTGGTATGACGGTTCCGTGGTCAAAATACGGTAATGTGTTAACAGGATGTCCATTGGAATCAACGTAGTGTGCTATAATGTCCTTCCTAGCAATTGTTTAGGGATCTGTAACAAGCCCCCGTATGCCCACTCTTCCCCGAACATAAACCTTAGAAGCACTTTGCCTTTTTGTCAGCCAATTGTTTTGCTATTCACTTAGCTCACATGACTATCTTAAATATTGAAGTCTCAAACTTGCACTGAGTTGCGTGTATTCATTTTGTTGAAATAACTTAAAGTTTTGTACAGCAATCCAGAATGTATCAGATCAGCGCACCACCTAATAGTGAAGCCGCGCCTATACCAGTACTACGTTAGCTCATATAGAGCACGCAGGTCAGCGGTCACGAGTCAGCTGTTGCGAGTGTTGACCAACCTGAACTAGAGGTGTCAAATGTCATATCTGCTACAGTTTGTTTAGGCTGTAGTGGGGTAGTTACTATGGGGTACAGTAACTTTAGGGTTTCCTACTTGTACCCAACTCTTTCCTAGTGCAATCACTCTCTTCCTACTCTTGCTGACCCGGAGTCTGACTCCCTTCGTGCTGCTAGTCCTACTGTCATGCGTCTCCTGGCCACTGTTGTCACTGACCCTTCCTTTGAGTCCACTGCTGCGTCTGCCTTAGTTGCTGAGCTTGTCGACTTTGCTGCTCACTGTCGTCTAGACTACGCTGCGAGTCTTGTTGCTGAGTCTGAGTCTGTCTGTCCTCCGTCCGTCGGGGGTGAGTGTGCCCTTGGCACGGACGTCCTTGAGGACAGGCAGGAGGAGTTTGAGTGCTTTGCCGCTGCTGTACCTCATCTTGTGGCCATGCTGCTTGCACCTGAGGGAGACCCGGATGCTCCAGACATCCCGACCCCGCGCTCTTACGCTGAGGCGATCGCGGGTGAGTACTCCTCTCAGTGGCAGACAGCCATGGACGCAGAGATGGCATCCTGGAAGTCCACTTGCACTTACGTCGACGACGTTCCCCCTCCTGGGGCGAACATCGTCAGTGGCATGTGGATTTTCAGGGTGAAGCGGCCGCCAGGTTCTCCGCCTGTCTTCAAGGCTCGTTACGTTGCTCAAGGCTTCAGTCAGCGAGAGGGAGTAGACTTCTTCCAGACCTTCTCCCCTACCCCGAAGATGACCACTCTTCGGGTGCTGCTGCACGTTGCCGCTCAGCGTGACTACGAGCTTCACTCTCTTGACTTCAGCACAGCTTTCTTGCAGGGCAGCCTGCACGAGGAGATCTGGCTGCGCCGCCCACCTGGCTTCACTGGGTCGTTTCCTCCTGGTACCCAGTGGAGCCTCCGGTGGCCGGCCTACGGTCTCCGCCAGGCGCCACGTGAGTGGCACGACACACTGAGGACTACACTTGCGGCTCTTGGGTTCGCGCCTTCTACTGCTGACCCGTCGCTGTTTCTGCGCACCGACACTTCACTGCCGCCGTTCTATATCCTCGTGTACGTCGACGACTTGGTCTTTGCCACTGCTGACACTGAGGCTCTCGCCCACGTGAAGTCGGAGCTGCAGAAGAGACACACGTGCACAGACCTGGGTGAGCTGACAAGCTATCTTGGCTTGCGGATCACCCGGGACAGAGCACGCCGCACCATCATCCTGACTCAGTCACACATGGTGCAGCAGGTCCTTCAGCGCTTCGGCTTCACCTGGTCCTCAGCACAGGCCACTCCTCTGGCTACAGGTCACTCGCTCTCAGCTCCACCTTCGGACGAGTCCGTAGAGCCGAGTGGTCCTTACCCAGAGCTAGTTGGCTGCCTCATGTACCTGATGACTTGCACTCGTCCTGACCTCGCGTACCCTCTTGGTCTTCTGGCTCGCTACGTGGCTCCTGGTCGGCACCGACCTGAGCACATGGCTGCTGCTAAGAGGGTACTGCGCTACTTGTGCAGTACATCAGGCATGGGGCTAGTGCTTGGAGGGAGGAGCTCAGTTGTTCTCACTGGGCACTCAGACGCTTCTTGGGTTGACGACCAGGCTACTCAGCGGTCGTCACAGGGTTACACCTTCAGCCTTGGCTCTGGTTCAGTTTCTTGGCGTTCTACTCGCTCGTCTTCAGTTCTCAGCTCCAGTTGTGAGGCTGAGATCTACGCCACAGCCATGGCTGCACAGAAGTTGCGTTGGCTCACCTACCTGCTGACTGACTTGGGAGAGCCGCCTCGTTCTCCTCCAGTGCTGTACGTCGACAACAAGGCAGCCATTGCCTTGTGTGAGGAGCACAGACTGGAGCACAGAACGAAGCACATCGCTCTGCGTTACTTCCTGGCTCGAGAGTTGCAGCAGCGTGGTCAGCTTCGTCTGCGTTACGTGGCCACTCGGGCAAACACTGCTGATATATTCACCAAGGCACTTCAGTCTGGTGATCATCAGCGTTTCTGCACTATGCTAGGGCTTGTGCCCACTTTTCCTCACTTGCTGTAGGCTTTGCTTGTACTGTGATCTATATATATATACCTGCATGCTTGCTTTGCTAAGTAAAGATCACTGTGCTGTTTGTGTTGCATATATGCCTCTGCATGTGAACTGGCCTTGTGGCCCTTTGCTTGTGCTCAGAGTGTGTGGTGACGTTGTGATCCACCCTGAGCTTGCTTTGCCTTTCTTGACTGGTCTTATGACCCCTTGCTCTCCCCCACTTTGCCTATGGGGGTGTGTCAAATGTCATATCTGCTACAGTTTGTTTAGGCTGTAGTGGGGTAGTTACTATGGGGTACAGTAAGTTTAGGGTTTCCTACTTGTACCCAACTCTTTCCTAGTGCAATCACTCTTGTTCATTCTGACAAGAGGTTGCAAACTGCCTCTTCGGTCGCAACCGTCTCAGAGGTTACCATATCACCCCGTATATAAGCACATGTGCGTTTATGATCAAATTGGTTTTTTGGGGGGGTATGCTTATAACTGAGTAACATGTATAAGTGCATGCGCTTATGTCATGACAAATACAGAATTGTATTTTTAACGCACCAGATTTTACATCTCATCCCTGCAATTTCAATCAAGTAAAAATGTTAGAGCGTCACAAATCAGAAGTTCGCACGGGCGATTCTTTGCCGGTGCACAGTGGCAAAGGCACGTCACTTTGCAAGCGTGCCAGCTCATCCTGACTGGACGCGCAACCAGTGAGGCCCTCGAGAGTCCAACGAAGTGAAAATGGATGTGGAATCGCTGCAAAATCGAAATCATTGCCGTTTTAAACAGGATTCAAAGAAATTTAAAATACATGCGCTTTTAATAAACCAGGGTTCTATAGAAGGTGCGCTTATAATCGAGGACCGGCCAGCGCAGTGCTCCAGATAGAAGCGCATGCGCTTATCATAGGCCTGCGCTTATATCCGGGGCCTTTTGGTACGAACTGCAACAAGGAAACTGCATGTATCACATTAGTTGCTACAATTGTAATGATGCCCGTACAGTTGATAAGGGAATGTACCCCTCAGAGTACATGGCTAGGTAGGACTATATAATGCAATGTAATAATTATTATTATTATCTTGTCATTTACATTCACTATAATCAAGGTACTTTTGCAAAGACGTCCGTTGTTTCTTCTACTTTCTCCTAGCAGACTTATCGTGGTTAACAAATATCCTTAAATTATGCTAACATGGTAGGAGAGCTAGTTTGGATTATACGTTCCTGCTAGTACAAGTTCCACCATTAAATTTTCTATAAATACTCCTTAATACAAGGGTATACATCATGTCAAGCGCAGATTGCAGTGAAATAAGAGAAAATCCAAGTTTCCTCATACCTCCAATATTTCCTCAGGACTGGCATCATTCGATCCTGCTCTCATCGACCGACTCATCTTCTCCATCAGCACCTTGGAGAGCCAACATCAGTGTGAGAGTATGATGTCTGTTCTACCTTGCTTTCATTTTTTGTTTTTTTCTGCACTTATCCTATTCATTTACTATTCTATTTCTTATTTCGGTTATATTCACCGTGCTGTTTGGTTAGTAGGAATTCTGCCAAACACAGTTAAGGCCTGAGCATCTGGATTTACTATATTAGTTTCTCTTTGGACGATGGAGTCATAACGGTTTTGGACATGCCATGATATGTCGCTAAGACCATACCACTGCCGAAAAAACTGTTGAAATTATGGTTAATTCGAGCTGCTCCAGTAAACATATACATAGTGTTGGATCTACAATATTGTAGTGTAGAATACATTGGTTGGG